GAATGAGGGAAGGACACAGCAGCAAGCTTAGAATTCTGCCCGCTGGATTCTGAGATGACTCACAAAGGAAGGGATTCTTCTGCTGCTCATTTAGTCTTTCTTACGTGTAGACACCCTTGCAGCTTTGGCATACTCCGTCCGTCTTGGTCCCGCCTGTGTGCCTCAGAGGGGTCTTGTGGAAACAGGCGCCCGGCCCACGTTTCCGGGCTGGCTGACTCGGACCTTCCTCACCCGGCCCCGGGCAGCCTCTCCGCTGCCTCGTCCCCACCGCTCCGCCCCGGCCTTGTTTCTTCAGTGGTGCACAGTCTACTCGCCTCACAGTGTCCCGTGTCATTGCACGTGCCCCCCCCCCGCCTGGCTGAGTCCTTTACTTTCATTTGTATTGTCCCAATTCAGGGAGCTTCCCTGACCCCTCACCTTACTCCACCCCCCAACTTCTAAATTAGATCCTCTCTGGACTGGATTAGAAAAATACATTATGGAGCATCCATTCAATAATACTAGGTGGTCACTTAAAAGAATAAGATGTTGCCCTGGCTGGTGTGGCCCAGTGGGTTGAGTGCCGACCTGTGAACTAGAGGGTTGCCGGTTCGATTCCTAGTTGGGGCATATGCTTGGGTTCAGAGCCAGGTCCCCTGTGGTCACAGGAGGCAACCACACATGGATGTTTCTCTCCCTCTCTTCCTCCCTTCCTCCCCCTCTCTAACATACATACATACATACATACATACATAAATAAGATCTTTCAAAAAAAGAATAAGATGTATCAGTATAGAATCAGGAAGGATAAAAGCAAGCTGCAGAACAACGTGTATGCAAAGTGATTCCATTTGCGCACATTTTTTTAAAGGATGTGTGTGCTGCATAGATTCTTTTCAGTGTGTATATCCCAGAAATTAATAGTGATTACCTCTAGGGGGACAACTGGGGCTCATATGAGGAAAGGACGTTTTTCATTGTGAACTTTTCTGCAGCATCTAAATTTATTAGCGCCTGTGACGTGATGTTACGTTTATGTTTAAAAATAAGACAGTGAGGTCTCCCTGTTACTTTTAGCCATAGAATCCAGTTAGTGTCCGAAACGGTACGTATTTGAATTTACTTCCTCGCCGTCTCCCACTGCACCGGTCCTCCACGAAGACGAGGGCCACGTCTGTTTCATTTGCTGGTGTTACTGGTGCCATTGAGCCTGGTGCCTTTTGCATAGTAGGTGCTCAGTCAGTATTCCTTGAATGAATGAATGAATGAATGAATGAATGAATGAATGAGCGAACAAATGCCGTTTCCCCAGCATATGGTTAACTGGGTTGCCTGCGGGGCAGGTGAGCCGGTTGAACAGTGCGTGAGATAAGAGGCCAACGTGAGAGGTGGGGAACGCAGCCCGAAGAAAGCTCGTTCAGTCTGAGGTGTCGGAGCTGGGAGAGAGTGGACGGTCTTCGTGAGGATGGTGGCCTGCGTGGGGGGTGCCGCCTGCTGGCTGAGCTGAGGGCTGAGGGTGCCCACTCCCATGCACTGGAGGGGCAGTCCCGGCCACCCTCCCCTTCCCTGGGGTTGCTCCAGGAGCCCGGCCACCTCCCTCTCCCTGGGACTGGTGTAATTACCAAGGGTGGCAGAGAGTGAGTCCCCGGGGCCCTCTGCCATGCTCTCGTTCTGCTCCGTGGGGCCTTATTGTAGGAAAGTAGCGAGTCAGGCCATAAGACGAGGGAGAGAGTCGGCTCATTTATGGTTGTCGGTATCTAGAGAAATACCCAAGAACAGAGGACCCCGAGTCTCCGGCAGAGTGAAAGCTACTTGACTGCAGGCGGTAGCCTCGCTGCTCCACTGGAGGCAGCAGCTCCGAAGGCACAGGTGGCTGTGGACAGGCTTGCGGGTGCAGTCGGACTGGCGTTGGAAATGGGTTCTGTGTGTTGTTAATGGTTTTCCCTTGTGCAGGCTGCATAATGGTCCTCAGCCTCAGTGTTCTCATCTGGAAAATGGGCAGGAGAAAATGAGGGAAGGAAGGTAGAGCCCTATCATCTGTCCCATGCTCAATGTTATATCTGTTAAATGAATAAGAATAGCACAGCACTTAGCATTTTATGAAGATTGTTCTCTTTAATACTTACAGCAACTGTATAGAGTTCAATATAACTGTATCAGTTTTACGATGAAGAAGCTGCGGCCCAGAGGACCCAGTCACACAGCCAGTACACGGAGGACTCGAAGTCAGCCGTCCTGCCCATGTACTTAACTAACTCATCTTTTTTGTTAAAGTTCTTCCCTTTTTAGCTGCATAGGAGAAAATGACAGTAAAGTTAGCCTGATTATTAGTTTTTTAAAAATAGTGGCAGTTTGTCAGTAGTACTATGGCAGACTCTTGAATTCCTCTTGTTGCCTGTATTAAAACTGTGTGCCTTTGAACATTGAGCTTGACAGCCTGAAGCAAACTGGGTCACTGGTCCAGACTTGCAGGCAAGTGGCCGTGCTGATTGCAGGCAGCGCCAGATCATTCCATGCAGGTGATTTGGTGAAGCGGTGGATTTCTCAAGTCCATTTTCTTTTTCTAGGTTTGTTCATGGTATGTGTGTAGGCTGGGGGGTTGGAGGGAAGGAGAGAAAGAACCAAAATTCCCAGGAACAGAGTATGTAAACATGAGCGAGCAATTGTCTGTGATTTTAAATCAGAAGCTGTAAAATTGTAAAGTTCTGTGTAGTTTGCCCGGAGCCTGCGCCACGGCCACCTGTTCCACTGGGGCCTGGGAGTTGGACGGCCTGACTCTGCTGCGACGGCTCAAGCTGTCACTGCACCGGAACGCTCCGGCTTGCCTTGGCCTGGCTGTCATCGCTGGCTCTGCCCCACTCTGGCGGTTCACCGGGTTCTGCTGGGCACCAGGCTTCCAATTAGAGAGAAGTCCCACTGTGTGGCCAGCCCCACCAGTGCCACTCTGAGAGGCCCCTTGGCCGAGGCCCGAACTGACCTCTGATCCGTCACAGATGGGCCAGCCCCACACTCCTCTGCGCACATTTGGAAGAGGGGGCGGGGAGGAAGCTAGAAGCCTGGGGGCAGTCAGCGTGGACACCGGACTGCAGTGCGGCTCCTCGGAGCGGGCCGGAGCCGGGCAGAGTTGACAGGACGCAAATGCTTGTGTTGTGCAGGGAAGGGGACTTGGGGAAGACCCTGTCCTGAGCCCTGAGCTCAGCATGGGGTGTTTTCTTAGCGACTTCTGAATATTCATCTCAGGCTGGACTCCACATCTGAGGAGAGCTGGGAGCAGCTGACCGGCACGCTCCAAAACTGTCACACCACTGGGAACACACGGCACCGCCAGCGTCCCCCCTGCCCCACTGCGGGGCCTGTGCCGTCGCCCCAGCCTTGGGAGCCCCACCCACCTGGGGCTGCAGACAGCAGTCAGCCGCAGCCCTCGCCACGGAGTGTTCATCATGCAGGGCGAGAGTGTATGAGAAAGCTAAATTTCTGTTAGCCTAAGAAATGGAATCTTAGAGAGTTCCATCTCTAATTCTTTAGCAGGAGAAAGAGACCGTCTAGGCTCTGAACAGCTTTTTTCCAGACCTGCTGGGTGGGGTTCATCATTTTGGGGGTGGTGTGTGCGTCTTCTCTGCTTCCCCTGTCAGCCGTTTCTCTTTATTTTATCCCTTTAACCACTCTCTTTCTCCACCTGTCTCTTTCTCTGTCCTGTTCTCTGCCTTTCCCTTGCATGCTTTCTCTTTTTCCAGCTACGGCATTTGTAACCCCCAGGCTGAAGCAATGATAAAGATACCAGGCTTGGAACTGATACATATTCTGGGCTTCGCTTGACGAGAGCAATCACAGTCTAAACCCAGAGTAGCCTGAAAGTGGCAAGCGTCTTCCCGCTGTTCTCAAAGTGATTCTGCGTCTCTTTTCAAAGTAAAACAGGATTCAGTTGTTGGAAGCAAGAACGAAGCTCTCACTCTTCTCTCCTCCCGGGATTTCTCCTCCCTTTAGCATTTGCAGCTGCCTGGGCAGTGCTGGGCTCTCTGAGTGCACTTGGCCTTTTCGCTCACTCTGCCCCTCTCTGCAGTCTGGTGAAAACAAAGAAAGCCCCTCGCCAGTCAGCGAGACTCATCTGGGAAGGAACTACTTCCGAAGCGTGTTGGGTTGTCCCCAGGAGGAGACGGGCTATTTCTGTGCCCCGCCAGTCGCCATAATTAAGTGATCTGCCGTCTGCCTTTCTGTGTTTGCATGACTTTGTTAGACGGGTGGAAGCCTTGGCCTTGGGTCTCCTTCTGTGTCTGGAGGTCTGTCTCACATGGGGAGTTCCTAGAAGGGTGGTCTCTGTGTGGCAGCACAAGACGCGTCCTCTGTGGAATCGGCACCGTTTTTATGTTAGATCTGGGGAGCGGAGGCCCCGATCGCCGATACACTGCCAGGGGGCCTGGTTGTGCCATTAGGTGAAAAACGACCTTCAGATGCGGGCTCGAGGCCACCAAGACCGTGAGGAGCTAGTGCACGTGTGGGCCTCGGTCCGAGGAGCTGCACTCACGGTGACATTGGCCTCCTGGCACCGCCGCCTCGGTCCCTCCATCCCTGGCCATGGCAGGCTCACTTACCGACTCCTCTTCTTCCCTCTCCTTTAATGTAAGCACTTCCCCAGGTGCTGTCTGGGACTCTCTCCTCATTTCTTTACACTTCTCCTGGGAGACCCAAAACCTGGAATGTACATCAGGATCGCCGAAGAAATCTTAGGGAAAGGTGCAGATGCCTGAGCCCTACCCAGGAGGTCCCTTTATCCCAGCTGGCTCTGGGGTAAAGCCCAGGATTCGGGCATTGTCGACGTTCTACCTTTGACTAATGCGCAGCTCTCGTTCAGCCCCACAGTCCTTGCCTGAGGGCCCCTACAGGGCAGGGACTGCATCTGAGTGTCCATTGTAGCCCCAACCTAGAGCCCCGTGGCTGGCATGTTGAGGGCAGTCAGTAGTAAATGAAGCAACAGGCGAGATCCCTGTTCATGCTGCTGACAGTTTTGCCTCTTCTTATTGCAGATATTCTTGTTATACCGGATCTGGAAGAAGTACAGGAAGAAGACTTTGTTTTGCAGGTGGCAGCCCCTCCCAGGTACATTACATTAGGTACGAGGCTGGAGGGAGGCAGGGAGCAGGTCTTCACGCACTCCAGTGCTGCAGCCCCCCAGTGCAGACCCACATGCTTCTGGTGATGGGCTCCCGCCCTGGGTTCCCATTTTATTAGACATTTCCTTCCCGTTCTGGGCCTTCCCCAGCTGCCCAGGAGGCCCGGGGGACAGTGGCCCAGCAGCACTCCTGGAACTGGTCCTGCCTGTGGTTTATCCTCACATTCCATCTGCCCCGCAGCGTCCAGGTGAACCGGGTGATGACCTACCGTGACCTGGACAATGACCTCATGAAGTATGCAGCCTTCCAGACCCTGGTGAGTGGAACGGCCTCTGCATTGAGAGGTGGGCTCCAGGCTGCACCGTTAGGGATGTCTCCGCGCCTCTGTGGGCCTCTGAGGCCACCTGGCAACAGGGCCTTTGCCGCAGGCATGGTCCTTGGCTGTTCCAGCATCTCCGGGCCCAACATAATCCCGAGTTTCTCAGTGCAGGCTCCCGCCTGTTCCCATGGCTTTCCATGGGAGAGGTTGACCAAGATTTATCCATCTACTTAGTGGCAAAGCTGGAATTCAAAGCCCAGTTGTCTGACACTACCGAGCTTTATCTATTTATTTTTTAATACCCTCACCTGAGGGCATGCATTGGGTGGTTGCCTCTTGCACACACCCCAGCTTGGAACAAACCCACAACCCAGCTTGGGGTCAGTGGCTCCACCGGCCGCCCCAGGCATATGCTGCTATCATGCCCTGCCCTCCCGATGCTGACCTTCCTCTGAGGATGCCCAGCCTGTAGGATCTCCTAGCATTCCCTCAGTGGTCATGTGGTCCACTCCCATTTTTACTCTTTGAGAACATATTCCTGCAAATCTGGGCTTGGGAAGTCCTACCACCACCTGATCCTTCTCACTTTTCGAGAGATAATTGTCCAAAGGCCCCTTCAGGTACACAGCCCTTTTCTTCTCCCTTGTTCACAGGACGGAGAGATCGACCTGAAGCTCCTCACCAAAGTCCTCGCGCCGGAGCAGGAGGTTCGGGAAGTAAGTGGCAATAGCAGCCTCTCGCTCCCTCAGCCCAGTTGTTCCTATAACCAGCTGGCTCCCCGGGCCAACCTCTGCCTCCCTGGCGATGGGTGTGGGAGGGGGCCTGTGACTGCAGGGAAAAGCCTTCCTGTGCCTCACCCAGCAGTACCTCTCTCGGCAGGATGACGTCAGCTGGGACTGGGACCATCTCTACACTGAGGTGTCCTCAGAGCTCCTCACCGAGTGGGACCTGCTGCAGACAGAGAAGGAGGACCCTGTGGGACAGTCTGCACACACCTGAGCCCGTGGGGCACAACAGCCACTCGTCCTGCACACAGTAACCTCCGCTTCGGACTTTTGAAACGGCTGTAAGCCTAAAACTAAAAGAAGCTTGCAAGCAGCTTAGGATTTTTATATGACATATTTTGCATATTTCATATAAATATGCAATAAATATATGATATTTTTGCGATAAAAATATTTATTTTCAGGAGACCACTTTGGATCATTCAGTTGTAATAAATTGCTTTTTTCTGCAACTGTTTCTTCATTTCTTTCCAGTGCACTCTTGGGAAAGATTTGTCAAGAGCGAAGGAAGCAGATTTTGAACAATGTGATGGGCACGTTCCCCATCATGGAAGGAAGAGCATGAGGGAAAGCTAGATCAGGGAGCAAAGGATTGGCACTCCTCCCGCAAGCTGTTCCGTCCGCAGAGGCCGCAGTAGTTCCCCGGAGCATCTGCCTGTAAGCACCTGGACACAGGGACATGGGAAGTCGCAAGCTGCTGCCTGCTGAGGAGCGGGAGTGGGCCTGGTGGGACACCTTTCTCACTGTGGACTTTCAGTTACATTGGCAAAGTTGTGCTGTCTCCTTCATGGTTAGGCGGCTTAGTTGAGGACAACAAGAAGTGGGTGTGATGAGGGACCCATCCCTCACGGCAGGGTTTGGTGGCTCTCCCGACAGCACTCCCCTTTCACGCTCTTCCCGCAACCCGTGCCTGGGGCTCCCAAGTCATGTTTCCTGCAGCCACAGGCTCCCAGAGCCCCGATCCTGGCTCCCATGAGCCAGGCCAGCACGGCAGCCCTGAGGATGCCAGAGAAACCCTCTAGTAGGCAGCCCAGGACGCCCGCTTTCAGACCGCCAGCAGCTTGTCTCTGCTGCTGCTCAGCACAGCATCACCTCCGGTTTCCACAACACACAGATCAGGAGCAGGGCACGATTTCCTAAACAGAGGCAGCTTTGGTTTGTGTTTCCCCACCCCCACCCCCAGACACCTCATCTGCAGACAGGGACGTTTCCCCGCCCACCTCTTCTAGATGCCACTTGGATCAGGCCCATGCGGGCTGGCAGCCGCAAAGCCCGCTCCTTGGCCGTGGGGCCGTGGGGAGTGCGCAGTGAGGCTCCTCCTGCCTGGAAAGCCCTTCATTAAAATGCAGAAAAACAAAAGGCTCAACACTTCAAAAACCCACTGGGGGGTTATTTTTGAATGACTAGTATGCCCTTCCCCCATGAGCCGAGCAGGCTCCAGAGAAGGCTCGCCTACTAATTATAAACCCTGGGATTTAGTGGCTTTGGGGTCTCTTCTCCTCTTCGGAAAGTCACACTGTTGGCCCAGACAGCCCCTCTTTCGAATAATTCCCATGGTCACTGAGAAGTTTCTATCCAGGCTGATTTTTCTTGAGCCTGCATCCTTCTGAAACCCAAAGGAGAAAGGCTGTATTTCTAGTGCCTTAATGACTCACAAATTCACCTGCCTCAGGGCCCAGAGAACCTTGGAGGTCTTTAGCCAGCCAGAGCACGTGGCTGGGGTTGACTTCCTTCCTCTTTGTTTTATAACAACAGCAACAACAAGATCTGACATGTCAGGAGCATTTAACACATGCCAGACACTGGGCTTGCACAGAGCAATTATCTGTTTAATCCTCACAACTGTCCATCAGAGTAGATACCATTAGCCCAATTTATAGATGAGGAAACTGAGCCTCAGAGGGGTAGAGATTGACCAAGATTTGTCCATCTACTTAGTGGCAAAGCTGGAATTCAAAGCCAAGTTGCCTGACACTGCCCAGCTTTATCTATTTATTTTTTAATACCCTCACCTGAGGGCATGCATTGGGTGGTTGCCTCCTGCACACACCCCAGCTGGGAACAAACCCACAACCCAGTATGTGCCCTGACTAGGAATCAGACCTGTGACCTTCTGGTTTATAGGACTGCTCCAGCCAACTGAGCCACACCAGCGTGGGTATGAGTGTGCTATTAAAACTTGTGGTTTTATTCCCCCTCCGCTGCCCTCAGCTTGGGAAAGGGATCTGGTTCACAGCAGTGTGCTGGGAGAATTTGCTTGCTACCCCTCCACACTCGGCCAGGCATCCATTCTTTGGAGTGACCTCAGGGCAGAGGGCTTCTGTCCAGCTTGGATGCGAAGCCCCTCATCATGGCTGAGCTCAAGAGTCCTGGCCTCGGTGGGTGAGGTGAAGCCAGTGGACCTAGGAGAGAAATAATTGCTAAGTTACATGAGCTAAGTGTGGACAAGGGCCAGGTTCAGGCCACGTGTGGCCAGTTCACCTGCCAAGTGCCCAGGCCACGCCCTGTCTGGGCTTCATCCTTGCCGGTGCACTTGACATCCCTCTTCAGAGTTCCCGGAGAATGACAGGTTGTTCTGAGACACCTTCCTCATGCTCCCTCCCTCGGGATCGCCCACCAGACTTCAGAGGGTCTCCCAGGGAGGTGGCACAGCAGAAGGACAAGCACCTGCAGGTACCCACAGCGTGGTTTTGTGCGGGCATGGCAGGGAGGGTACAGCTGTCTCCATGTGGCATGCTCAGTGGCTCCTCACCCGCTTCTCTTAGACAAGCTCGTGTCACCTCTGAGCAAGTCTGAGAAGTCCCAGCCTGTCTCTGACAAAATCTCCCTTGGCGTCTTTGCGTTGGTCCTTCCTAAGATACTGACTGCTTAGTACATGCCAGGCTCTGTTCTCGTGACTGCGGAGATAGGCCTAGACCGGGCAAACTCCCCTCCCTCCCAGCACCTACCCTGGAGGAGGAGGAGATGGACGGATAAGGAGGATGGTATGTCAGATGGGAATGGAGGTGGCTATGGGGAAAAGTGAAGCAGAACGGGGTAGGGAGTGCGGGGTGGAGGCTTCAGTTCGACGTGGGTGGTCAGGGGAGGCCTCACTGTAAAGGTGACATTTGAGCAAAGGGCTGAAGAAGGTAAAAGAAGCAGCAAGACAGGTACCTGAGAACAGTGTTCCAAGGAGTGAGAACAGCATCTGCAAAAAGCCAGCAGGAGGACACGTACCTGGCTTGAGTAGCAGCAGGAAGCCAGTGTGTCAGGTGGATGGACAAGGGGAGAGGAGATGGTAGGTCTTGCTGTGCCCAAGGCCTGGGCTTACCACAGAAAAGACCTTGGGTGTGTGGGGTCCACTCCCTTCGGGGACACGCACATTCCCAGGCCACCTGGGGCTTGTCAGGCAGCCTTTGGGAAACGCTATCCAAAGGGCTGCACAGCCTCTTCATGTCTCGGCTTGAAAGAAGCGAACGGTTGATGCTGCGCTGAGAGAGGGGAACAATGAGCTCTGTCTGCCACGGACCAGAGGCAAGGGGCCTCTGCCAGCTCCCTGCCAGGCCGGGGGGCCCGGTGCACTGGGAAGACAGGGCGGCATTGTATGACCCGGCATGGAACGGTCCCTGGAAACCTGCAGCTCCGATGAAAAGCTCAAGCAAGCGGTTCAACTGGGCAGGCCTGTGGCTGAACCTGAGGTCGTCTCTGCCCCGGAGTGTTCGCTCATCTTTGCTAGGCCCCAGGACCCTCGGACAGGCCTTTGGAACTCCATGCTCCAGATGGAAACTGATACTAGCGCCCTCACTGAACATGTTCCTGCCACACACCAAGGCCTCTCTTGATGAGTGGTTAGGGGGCTCCAGGGAGCATGGATGCTGGAGACCTAAATGAAAGGTAGCGTCTGCTACAGCAAGACGAGGCAGCGTAGCCTCCCTGCTCTGCCTGCCCCTGAGGGGCAGAGAGTCGGTGCGGGCGGGGGTGAGTGGAGGAGGCAGGGAGCAGGGGCAGAGAACACAGATTCCGGAATCGGGCAGACCTGGGTTCCAGTCCCAGCTCTGCCACTTAGAAGCCGTGGGTCCTTACGCGAGCTGCTTCCCCTTCCTGATTCTGTTTCCTCATCTGCGAAGTGGGGGTGATATTTGCACTCTCCTCTTAGGATTGTGATGCCCAGTGAAAGCTGACTGCTCTTAGAGTTGAGAACCGGAGGTGGCTGAGTCGCGAACACAGGGTAAGTCCCACTGGCTATTTTATTGCAACGACACCTGTGTTTGGCAGTGGGGTACCACCTGCATTTCCTCCCATGCATCGTCCGTCAGCCATGCATAGAATGGCTCAGCACTAGGGCTTTCCTGTTTTGTTTTTACAGGAACCCTATTGAGGCATAATATGCATGCCTTAAAATTCACCCACCAAAAATATGCAATTCAGTGATTTAAGTAAATTAATGGAGTTACACGATCATCACCATATTCCTGTAGTAGGACATTTTCATCACCTACAGCAGGGGTGATGGAATGTAATTTTAGCACTGTGTAAATGTAACTACTCCTTAACTAGGGGCAAGGAGCTCTGCATTCGGCATTTTAAGGCAACTGCGAGGCTGGTGTGGCCCCCGGTGAAAAGGAGTTTGACAGCCCTGCCCTCCAGAGCCCCCTGGGTTCATTACAGTTCCTCCGCTCCCACTCCCAGCCCTTGGCAACCACCAATCTGTGTTCTGACTCTGTGCCCTTGGGCACACAGATGGACTCACATAATACGTGATCTTTCAGGTCTGGCTATGTTCACACCGTGCGTTTTCAAGGTCCGTCTATGCCAGAGCATGCGTCAGCAGCTCACTGTTCTGACGCTGGATGTCTTCCATCGTGCCAGTCCGTACCGCATTCTGTCTGACTGTTGTTCATGGGTCCAGGGACAGTCGGTCTCCAGTTGGGGGCTATCATGAACAACGCCCCTGTGGACATTCACACACCTGTCTTGGTGTACATGTATGCTTCTATTTCTCTGAGATAGTGACATTGCTCTATGAGTGAACTCGCTGGGTCACGTGATATGTCTATGTTTAACTCTCAGGGAAACCGCCGGACCATTTCCAGGGCATCAGCTCTGTTTGTTTGCCTTTTAGTGTTTTAGGGTAACAGGATCGCATTCTTTTTTCCCCCTTGTCTCCTTTCCATAAGTTTTTTCAAGGTTGCTGTGAAATTTACAGGAGGCACATTCTCCTGCCCCCCCCCCCCGCCCCATGCGCCCTTCCTCCTGTCATTGAGCTTCTTTCTGTTTGGAGAACACAGAGTGCATGCCGTTTCCCCCGACAGCCTGTGAGCTTCTTCAGGATAAAATGGGGGTGTTGTTCGGGTTTCTGTCAAGCTCCACGCATATTCCAGGAGTTCAAAGTCAAATCAGACATGGTACTGTCCCCAAGGAGCTCACAATTTAGTAAAGAAACAGACAAGTTTCATC